ACACTTAAAACAATAGCCAGGTTCTCCAAGGAGACTAAAATAAAAAAGCCAGTGGAAACATCTACTGCGGGGACTCCCTGGCAAAAACCAGCATGCGCAAGCACTGAGCTGAGCGTGTGACTGTTGTACTTGTCGAGGCTTCCTGTTCTGTTTGTTTTTCCTTCTGACTACACTTGATAGTCAAGAAATGAATAAAACAACACTGGTGACAGGGATGGTGGTGGCAGCTTTAAGGCACTTAGGACTCATCTGAAAGAAAGGACACCATGGGAAAGCAGGCAGTACTGTCATGACTGAAATACCAACGCCTTTTTCCCGAGACTCCTCCTACATTTGGTGCTAAGCAGCTTGTGAAATTATACTCTTCAGGTTTTTTTAATCTCTTTCAAAAGGTTATTCCAGTTATTTCACTATCAATAGCAGCACCCTCTCCATAATCATCCACACAATACCATAATCGCACACTGTGCTTTACAAACGCAAAGGAGAAAAGCAGAAGTTTAGCCCAGCTCTAGGAGGCCCAGCTATTACTAAAGAGCTCACACTCCTTCAAAGGCTAAATTTAGCTCCTATTTCCTGGCCTAAAGAGCTTGTGGCCTACAAGCTTGTGGCTCCAGCAAAACCTTCTTTCACACCTGCTATCCCAACTGGAGGAAAGAAAAAAGCAATCTGTGAGAGCTGATTACTGCTCATCAGAAGGACCAGGGACCACATCATTTGACGGGAGGAAAGAAAACACAAGCCCCCAGCATGTCTAGAAAACTGACTGTCCATGACTCCCATGAGGGACAAAGAGAATCCTCAAATGCTGGGCAGTGAAACACGCCTGTGCTCAGACAGTTGTGCTTATACAACAAACACTGAGTAGGATGTACATGCATGAAGATAACTTTTCAATGTGATCCTGGCCAGATTAAGCTGTTTGCTGACTGAAAACTAAATCCTTCTCTGAAAGCCAGGTACACACGTCCTGTTACAGTGATACAATTTCCTAAGAGGAGCTGCATCACCTCCGGTGCTGCCTGTCAGATTTCATGTGTTAAAATAGGTTGGGATGGGTCACTATTGCTATGGGAGGACATCAGAATGATGTAAGGAAAGGTAATGGCACTCTTCCTTCTCTGACTCATTACTGTGCGGTAATAAGCCAGAAATAGACCTTGGTGACAGCAAGGGGGATGAGAACTTGAACATGGACTAGGACTCTCTTGTGGCACTTGTTATGCCTAACACAGACAAATGCACGAAGGATGCTCTGATACCACATGCTGACATCCTTCCACAAGGATCGCTGGAAACAAATTTCCATCTGAGGGAAATACCAGTTGTCCGAAATTTGCTTCTGCCTCAAATCACTGAAGCAAAAATTGGAATTTAAAATTTTTCTGCAAAATGATAAATCAGGAAAGCCTGTGATTCAGAACTACTAAAATGTTTCATTTCATGTCACACCGTGTCAATAGTATCCCATAGAATTACATTTACAATACAGCATGTGAAAAAACATATATCAAAATATAAAATTACAATAAATCAGAAACATTAAATAAATTGGGGTTGTAGTCAAAACAGTTCATTTAAACATTTTTATCTATATAAACCTCATGTGGACCAAGTCTTCGGTGAAGGAAAAAAAAAACCAACCAACCAACCAAAAAAACTACCACAAAAAAAAAAAAACCACAAAAAACCCCACAAAAAAACCCAACAACCAGATTTCACCAAAAGCGCACTTCAGAAGAAACAGTACTGGGAACATGTTTTGGACTGGTTTGACTTGTTTCACCATCATACACTTCCTGATACCAGAGCTGGACTTACACTGCTGCTGCTCAGACTAGCAGGACAGAATGATTTTATAAAAGAAGTCCCAATTTCCCATAAGTGTACTGAAGTCTCTTGGAAATCCGGAAATAACTGAAGGATGCAAGGGCTAATTTCTCAGCATCTCCATTTCCCAACACCTCAGTGAACGCATCTTTTGGATACTTAGACTCTTTGACACATATACTAGAGAATTTCTGTTGAACTCAACTACTTGAAAAATCCAGTTTTTCATCTTGTTTCTTAAGTATACTAAATATAACTTTTAGTACTGTTTTGGATTTGTGAATACACACTACAACTGTATAAGAGAAATCTATTTTTACACTCCTTCCAATCTGACCACATTGGATGAATTAAGACACTACCAAGGACCAAGTCATACTAAAAGCATTTTTAAAGTTTGTATTTTCAATTATGTTGCAATTCCCAGACTTATAATGTAATCTGATCTAGTCTGCTCAGCCAGTCAGCAATAAACATAACAGAAGCCCAGCTCACTCCACTTCTTTATCAGTCCTTATGAGGTTACATAAAGACACCGATCTTTTCAAAGAAAATACCAAAGCATCCATGCTAATACGTTACTTTCTCACAAACAATTATTTGTATGTTTGGTTTGTTGGGGTGCTTTTAAAGAAACAAAAGGCAGGCTGCTCCAGATTAAAGTCTGCACGCCATACCAATTTCCTTTAAACTCAGAGGCAGGGAGCTGTGGGTTCAAACTTTATCTTGTTTCCTATTAAGTAGGCCCGTAAAGGCAGCTACCATAAACTACAGAATAAAGGCTTAGAAGCAGGACTTGGAAAGGCAGATATAGCTATTCTAAGCTGTTGAAACAGTTATAAACAGAAACGCTAGCACCACTAAGGAAATTCATAGAAAAAAAACAGAGTCAAAATTATCACAAGAAAAAATCAAAAACATCCAACTTGACAAATCAGTTTCTTTCTAATTAATTTAATTAACGGATTAGGCAAGGGAGATTTTGTCAATAATGAGGACCCTAATCTAGCTGTTGGGAAACCACAGCTCATCTTCCTGCCTTCCCCAATGTCGCACACACTAGAGGCTTTTCAAACCACAGAATCGGGACTTAGGTGGACTTGCAGCAGCCTGTCTGAAATTCAGACTCCCTACACTCCCTGGTAACGCCTAAAATCGGTAAGTCATTTTGACCCACAGAATTCACCAGGCAGCGAGCAGAGGCATGTACGTACGCTCTGTGCGCAATGGGACATATGCCTGTGCTTCAAGGACGTGTTAAAAGACACACAAATGCCACCTATGCACCTTTGTGGAGGAGAGTCCACAAAGCTAGATGTTCCCAGGTCATCCCAAACTTACTGAGCTGCACCATTTTCAGATTAAAATGGGGAAATGGCTGCAGCCCCCTTTTATAGGGCTGCAAAACCCCAGAATTACACCAGTGAAGTAAATGAAAGGGAGCTCCAGAAATATACTCCACAAAGGATGTGACCATGAATATTTCCATGTACACCTCTAGCCATTTCAGAGTAAAAGTGTATTTGCTATGCTGAAAATCATCAAAACCTCATGATATTTTTACGACATTCCAAAACCATCCCAAACCCCAAAGCACAGGAACTACGTGAAGGGCTGAAGTCAAGTACTGTCTCCTCTGGGCTGCTGGTAAACAGCTCCGCATACGAACCGACCCATCAGCCTGTCTGAAATGAAGGATGAAGGCAAAGGAGAGCTGGACCTAGCTGGATCTAACATTAGCATGACGTAGTGTTAGTTATACGGGCTTCCCAACTCAAGAGTCAACCTTGCTGTTCCATGTCTCTACAAAAGTCTATAGTATGGAAAACACAGGCCAGCCTGGCATCTAGCCTTGGGCTACTGAATGATACCGCTTGTGTTACTTTTCTCAGGTAGAGCCACTTCAGAAGAGCTCTAACTAAACCCTCCCTGGATACAGACGGTGTCACATACTTTGTGGCCCTACAGGGGCTTCAGCAAACAATTCATCACCAAGAAATAATGAAATGCTGGATTGTGCACCACGGATCAGTGCAATGTGTACCATGAATCTCTTGGACAAATGATCCAGCAGACACGGTCTTCACAGTCACTAGTGTTATCACTTAGTATGTTCCCATCTTTTTATCTATTGGACTACATTTTATGCAAAAGTGGCACAGTTAAAGTAAGTGTGTGTGTGTGTACACATCCAAATACACAAGCTCTATTATGATAAAGCCTTTAAAGCTGTTCATACTTTTTCAAGAAAAAAATATCCCTTTTAAATTTTCATGAGTTATTCACAGTTCAAACTGATCTTTTCTTCACATTTCCTGCAGAAATTGCTCACCCAGTCTGTTTACAGTCCTACCTGCATGAAATGCATGTACATAATAGCCATGGCTGTATACTTCACCAAAAAAGTAAATTCCCAAAGGGTTGCAGGTAACGAATTGTCTTTGAAACAATGTTGAGAACTATGGTAAGAGCTAAGTTGGAGTCAATTCAGTCTTTTTAAGTTATGACAGTTCAATGTTCTTTGTGGGCCAAGCAGCTGGGTTTTCAGTTGCTCTTCTTTGCCTACTCTAAAGTAGTTCCAAAGCTCAGTGCTATGGAAGTGCTTCTCTATCACTAAAACTTGCAGTGACCTAAGAAGTCCTACAAAGCCTCACAAGTGGATGAAGAAATCTGGAATAATGTAAACATAGTGTCTTCTGTTTGAAAACACCACTTAGAGAACCAGCATATGTAGATATCCATACAAATACACCGAAATCTTCCAGAAAAGATTTAATATCTTAAAAAAAGATACCTGTCAGTTCCAGTGCAAGTTATGGGTTTCCTATACGAACCAAAATTTTTAACTTGTATCATGCAGGAATAGGACCATATGTAAAAACACAGTTGTTCCAGGCTGCATTACTGTGCCTCTCCACAGAGCACTACTTAGGTGCACAAAATCAGCAAGATTTAATTACTGTGGCCCAAAATTTCCATTCTGACTGTCAAACAATGCAGGGTTTCAGAGCTACCACCCTGAGTAAATTTTCTATTGGTTAGATAATTTGGCATCACTGAGTTCTGCCTTTTCTGAGTCTATCTAATTAAGATTACATGCATAGCAAACAGAAAGTAAAGGAGATTCATAGTAAGAGAGAAAGAAAATTGTACTTCTGTGTACACTGTACCTGCAGTAAGACAGTACCCCCTGGGATTGTGAGCTGTAAACAGTACTTGGGGGCATTCTCCCAGGAGAGCAGTTGAACATCTTCAATAGCACTGTAGGAAATGGAGTTTTCCATGTACCCAGTTGGCTGCAAAAAAACAAAGGAGAAGAAAAAAATGTTTACTTAGTCATCAGAAGTTTCACAATTTCAAGGTAAGAATAGATCTATCAAAATCACTCTTGGTGTTGAAAATATCTGCAAAATACCTAATTGGAAAGCAAAATCCCTATACAGGCCATTCAATGAGAGATCCATCCAGCCACCTTCATCCAACTCGTTCAAGCGTTAAGATCGCTCAGGTAAAAACAAAATCAGGCCAGACCTAGATGCCTAAAATATGAAAATATCAAACTGCATTTGTTCCAGACCCAAAATCAATAGAACCTATTTACAGTTGAACTGAGCTATGAAGGGGTATGGCCATGCATGTGCTATCAACGTATGAAGAAGCAGCTCAATCACACAGACAGAACAGCAGTGTACTCTGTTAAGGTAGTTTTATTTCACACATTCTTGTTCTTCTCCCTGGCTGCAACGTTGATCAAGCAAATCATTAAAATCTAGACTGCTACATTTGACAGTGGTTCTTGGGGGGTCCAAAGATTCAGCCCCCAGCTTTCAGACTCAAGCAAACGCACAGCAACCAACCTGCTCATCTCAGCCTACACTGGTTTCCTACACAGACTGCTGGTGCCCACTTTTTCACAATTAAAGTCACAATTAAAACATAAATAAGTAACTGTGCTTTGCAATTACATGTACAACATAAATTGATAGTAGCAAGGAAACAAACTTAAGCATGAAACTCCTTATTAGTATCCCCATAATTCTTAGGCATTACAGAAGTACAATTATCGCTGAGATAAGCTGAAATATAAATGTATACATGCAAGCACACGTGAAATTATGTCTTAAACATAAGTAAATACATAGAGATATAGCTGCCTATCTACTGAGTATGCGTACATATGCCATAATTTATGCAAGTCTTCATGTTGTTTAAGTAATTTGAGTATTTAGGTCCTCAAGACATAATTTATTTTGCTTTGCTATACCGTAAGGAAACTGATCAGTATTGCTATGGCAGAGAAACTATTTTCATACAAAAGTGATTAATCCCACTACGCGCATAAACCCTTGAGTTGGCCATGTCTTGCAAGAGAAGAGAGCTCATTACATTTATGAATTATTTTCTCACTATTACTGGTTTACACATAACTCAAACTTTTCAAACTTACTCCCACTGTGCCCAATACATAAGTTATTTTTAACCGACAGTCTTGAAATAAAGAAGGCAAGGGAGAAACCACATCTATTTCAGGGTCAAACAGGGCCAACTCTTAAAATCACAACACAGGATTCCTGGGGGTGAGTGTGAAATAAGCAAATTGCATTTGGAACGTCTCTGCTTCTAATTGGTACAACTTTCTTCCATAAGTTAAGTAGGTGGTGCATCTGGAAATTGTACTTTGAAGTTATACACTTCATACACATTCATAAGGCCAAAAACATCATCTGCCAAAATGCAATGATGGCCCTGTCATCCACCTTTGCTGCTACAAAAAGCCAGTTCTCTTTTCAGCAAGAAAAACCCAGCAAGCCAGGGAACTGAACTTTAATATCTTCTTCAGTAACGTTTGTTGCGGCAGCGTTCATTTTACACTAGTCCTCGTTGAAAATAATTTTTGCTGTCTCTTTAACGAAGACCTTGTTATTCAGGAAGTATGATAAACTTCTGCTTATTCATTTACCCACAATATTGTTCTACACTAGTGACTGGAATCCCAGTGGCTTAATGCTGATACTGTACGTCATGCGTTGCCTACTGGAGAGTAATTATCTCGTTCCAACAGGAAGCCAAAGGCCCAAGATCCTTCGGTAATCAGCATTACAACACAGGGAAAAATATGAAAACAGCCAGCATAAAATCTAGTATGCTCAGGAGGCAAAGTTATCAAAAACATGCTCTGAAAGACTGGAGATGGGAAAAATCCAGAACCAGCTGATGCAAATATAAAAAGAAATGAATCAAAGCAATTTAAATTTTTCTCTTAAGAAGGTGCTGACTGCCCTTAATACCCTCCATTAACTTCAAAGAAGATTTGAAGAATTCTCACTGAATCTGTTCCCAAGGGAAGCCTCTTCTGTACCTTAAACCATCCATTTAAACAGCATTAAAGACAACTGATCCAGATCAATCACACCTCTGTGGCCATGCACAAGTGATTCTAATCCCAGGCATAAACCTCTTCTCATAGGACAGTCCTTTTCGTTAAGGAGAATGAAGGCACACCGAGTTCTGCAGTTTGCAAAGGACAGGAAGACTACCTAAACCATAACATGGAATTACACAGATGGTAAATCTCTCTAAATGAAAGTGTTACACCAACGAGGTAGTTTATATAGCACTCGTACGATCCCACTTCCATACCTTCTATCTAGCCATACCACACACAAAGCTTCATTACAGTTGTTTGCTACCTTACTCAAAAAATTAATAGCCCAAGTCTACTTTAATCCCTATAAGCCACGGCATATGCATTGCTTCTGTTTCATTAAAAACATAGGAACTGAAATATCTTCAATTCTGAAAACATCAGCTATAGGCAGCTTCACCTCCGTTTATAATCAAAAGAGTCTAAAGCAAAGTGATTTATCACTGTGTAGAGCTCCTTGAAATTGTGCTTCTAGATGCTGTCAAACACTGAAGGCCGTGCTTCCACATCAGGACTGTGCAGAAATGTGATGAAGAAGCACTGAAACAGAGCTGTCTTCAGACCCGAGGCTTCCCAGACCTCACAAGCTACGATGCTCTTCACAGACAGAGCACAGCACTAATGAGTTGACCGTCAGCCCCACACAAAGGTGTCCTTTCCCTAATCCCTGCACACACACAGAGGCGAGGACAGAGCGGTGTTCCCCGGCTGTGTTTTCTCAAGACCAAGCACAGTTCAGCTGTTTATCAGGAAATGGCCTGAGGTAAAACCACAGCCTTAGTCACTGGTTCCTCTTAAAACACAGGCTATTTTGACATTCAGGTATGTGAACGTCAATCACGGTGAATCATTGTGGTGGATAAATAAGCAGTGCAAGTGTTGCATGTTCTCATGTTCCAGCTGATCTTGCTTGCACACACCCCCAGAAGCTGCATCCTCACCCCAGGATGCTCCATGGGAAATTCAAATTAGAACAACATGCAAGACCAGAAATGTGCATTCAGAGATTTGAAAATACCTAAAATGAGACAGATCCTCAGTGGGTCACCACGAAGCATCTGGCATCAATACCAGTCTTCAGCAGCGTTCTCACTTCCATCTACCTGCTTTGCCTCTGCCCATATAAATATTTGCGGTGTCAGGCAGGTCAGGGAACCCATCCAGCTTTTGCCAGATTACTTTTCAGCTCATTTGGCCCCATTTCTAACGTGAAACAGAAACTAGTATGTTAATGCAATTTAGGGGGCAGCATATCATGGGGAAGGGAGTGAGCAGTGAGGACCCGAATATTTCAGTCTAATTATTGATATGAGACAGTCTAAAGCCACAGCATCTTTGAGCAGTAATACATCAAGTTCAGCTGAAAATGCCTTTATTTGAGAAAATAATAATTCTTGCTTTTATAGCTGTCATTTTTGAAAGGAGATTGATGTTTCTTGGCAAAGTCTGAAATCTATCAAATGAAGCAAGATAATGCATTTTTCTCATTCACGCTACAAAATTAATCCTAACTTAGGAAACTTTGGCCAGATAATCTACATGTGTCAGCTTAGAGATTTACAGTTACAGTTTTGACTTCTGGCTGTTTGCTGTTTAGTACGTTCTGAAAAAACTGTAAAAGACTCACAAATGAAATTTATTACAACAAACAAAAACCTAAGTCAAAGAAACATTCTTCTCTTCACATTAGCCTTTAGCCTCCTAACGAAACATGCAACTTCTCCATAGGGAAATCAGGTATGTTTTAACCTCAGTGAGAACTCTTGTCTTTTTTCAGTTCCATAAAGACTTATTAATCATACAGCTTTGAACAACTTTGTACCAGAATAGCCACACGCCAAAACATACTATAAATCAAATCTTAAGGGAATCCAGTGCTCCCAAAACTGGAAGAACATGTAGGCTCACGCATAAGGCTAGTTCTCTCTTAGCATTTCTGGGAAAAGTCAGCAGCAGCAGACTATTCAATAATGCAAAAATCTGCCCACTTGTTTCCATGGGAAATTCTAAAAGGGAAAGAATAAACATGACGTCCATTGTTAATGAGGCTTGTGTGCACTTACTCATATAATAATGTCCTAAATCTTCAGCTGCATAAGCATTTAGAAAAGATGAATTCTACAAATAGAGATGGTTATTTGCATTAAAACATATTTAGACAGACAACTCCCACCAACACAACAATGAAGAATTATTTTCCCAATTAAATACTCCAGATGGTGGGGGGGGGGGGGAACAGGGCTACTCCAGACCCTTGCTCTTCTACTATCAGGTGCTTATTTCTCTCTTGGCTGCTCTTAAGAATGAGCCATGCTGCTGTAGCCCAAGATTATGAGCATACTGTATTACATTCA